TTTTTTTTGGTTTTTCGAGACAGGGTTTCTCTGTGGTTTTGGAGCCTGTCCTGGAACTAGCTCTTGTAGACCAGGCTGGTCTCGAACTCACAGAGATCCGCCTGCCTCTGCCTCCCAAGTGCTGGGATTATAGGCGTGCGCCACCACCGCCCGGCTAAGATTACATTTTGATTTCTTATGGTAATCTTAAAGTTGAACTGAGATTCTTTGTCGGGTAACCAGCTATCACCAAGCTCGGTAGGCTTTTCACCTCTACCAAGGAGTCATCCCACTATTTTGCTACATAGACGGGTTAGTTCTTTATACTGCTCATAGGTAGCTCATTTAATTTCAGGGTCTCTAGCTTAAGATCTCTTAGAGGTTTTCTAGTTACCCCAATATGCAAAAGGTACAAGGTTTAATCTTTGCTTATTTTTACTTTTAATTGATCTTTCCCTTGTGGTACAGTCTTTATAGCTCCTGGGCTAGCTTTCTTTCTCCAATACTCGCTTTTGTCAAATGTTTTGTTTTATTGTCGTTTATAGTTGAATTAGGTATATATCAGGGCTAGGTTTAGTTCATAGTGTCCATTGGTTGTGGAGTCTTCTGGGTGTAGACCAGATGTTTGCTAGGGTTAAGCCACACCATGATTATTCCAAGCACACTTTCCAGTATGCTTACCTTGTTACGACTTATCTCCTCTTGTAAATTGTTGATATCTTATTTAGTTTGGGGAGGGTGACAGACTGTGTGTGCATATTTCATTGCTTAATTCAATTAAGCTCTCTATTCTTAATTTACTACTAAATCTTCCTTTTTCCTTTAGTTTCATAATGTTCTTAATAAGAAAATGTAGCCCATTACTTCCCACCTCATTGGCTACACTTTGACCTAATGTTTTTATGGTGATTCTCTTGCTTACTTTTGTTCCTTTTTAGACTTTGCTGAAGATGGCAGTATATAGGCTGGATTAGCAAGGGGATGTGAGGTATAGTGGGGTTTATCGATTATAGAACAGGCTCCTTTAGATAGATATAAAGTACTGCCAAGTCCTTTGAGTTTTAAGCTGTGGCCAGTAGTTCTCAGGCAAATATTTTTGTTTGATTATTATTAAAGTTTAGGGCTAAGCATAGTGGGATATCTAATCCCAGTTTGGATCTTAGCTATCGTGTATCAAGTGCATTAGAATTACTTTTGACATTGGTTCTTGGTCCAGTGATGAATTTTCCCATATTGATTGGATTTTAATTCTATTTTTTTTAGTCTTCTAGTAACACATTTTACGCCAAGAATAATTAGTTTAGGTTAATCGTATGACTGTGGTGGCTGGCACAAAATTTACCAACCCTTAAAGAGGCATGGCTTAGTCAAACTTTCGTTCATTGCTTAATTTTTATCACTGCTGGGTCCTGTGGAGATGTGTCTAGGCAAGGCTCTTTAGCTATATTATGTACTTGATGCCCTCTCCTTGGAGTTTAATAAACTCTGTGGGATTTGTCACTGGTTTAGAGAGATTTGCATGTGTAATTCTGCCTCCAACTAATTATAAGGCCAGGACCAAACCTTTTTTTTTTTAAAGACAAACAATTATATTTTTATTTATTATAAGGGGAAATCTCACAAAACTGGAACAAGAAGTTCAAGCTCAGCTGTGCAGCAAGGGAACCACAGAGAGAGAGCACACCTAGGCTGGGCACCCGTTTTTCTCCGGGTCCTAGAAAGCCATACCCTAACTTGGTCACACCTCTTGAAAATAATTGCTTAACAAAGCTTCCTCATCAACTGGAGATCATATTATTCTTTCCATTTCCCAAATGTTCCCCAATCAATTAGGAAGAAAGAACTATCATAGATCAGTACTCTAACTCTCTGAAAATGATACTACAACCAAATCTTCTAGCATTATCAAATGGACCAAATGAGAAGATACATGTACCTGGAAGTAAAATATACTACTGCACTAGTTTATGTATCTATAGAAACATACAAAAAAAACCTGATCGTACAGGACCAAACCTTTTATTTTTATGGGCTGCTTGCATCCATCTAAGCATTTTCAGTGCTTTGCTTTCTATAAGCTCCATTAACAAAAGTCAATACTGAAATTCCACTTAAAAAATTTGGGGACTTTGAGTTGTTTTTGGTATTAAAAATTTTATTGAAAAATTTTGCAAATACTAAATTTCAGATTACATTTGGTGGATTACTAGAATGGATAAAAGAACCTGTTTTAAAGTCCCTTGCTTTTGGGGTTTGACAAGGATAGGCGATTTCAGGTAAAGGGGGAAAGAGGGGATTGGGCTGAGATAGCTTTTTAGTATAGATGGAGTTGTATGTCTAACAAACATGGAAAGTAGGTCCGTGGGGGCCGGGTGGAGCAACATAGCATTTGCACAGTTAGTATGGAGTGTTATTTTAATGACAAGCACTGGAATTTAACATGTGAATTTATCCTGAGTCTGCTAATTATTAAGCTGAAGAGTTTTGCATTGTTTCATAAGCCAGTTCAACAATATATTTGGGAATATTTCCATCTTGAATAAAAATGTTTTATTATTTAATTTTTATTGATATCATTTTGTATTCCATCACTGTTTTTACAATAGATACAAAGCAGTGTTTCCATTCATAACCAACACATTTGTACAGATTTTGAATTAGCTGAAACTTTGCTAGTGTGAAAACAACAATCTGCACAGTAATGGAATTATTTCTGTTCTTCTTAGTCATCAAGTACTATAGTACTTTTTTGGCCTGCTCATGAGGAAGACTGATCAAAATTGCATGTCCATTTCACAGGTGATGGATATCAAAGGACAAATGATCCATGTCCCAGAATCAAATGCCATTTTGTTTTTGGGCTCTCCATGTGTGGACAAGTTGGATGAACTCATGGGCCGAGGACTACATCTCTCAGACATTCCTATTCATGATGCTACCCGAGATGTCATTTTAGTAGGAGAGCAAGCAAAGGCCCAGGATGGCTTGAAGAAGAGGATGGATAAATTAAAGGCCACCTTAGAAAGAACTCACCAGGCCCTGGAAGAAGAGAAGAAGAAGACAGTGGATCTGCTGTACTCCATTTTTCCTGGTGACGTAGCCCAGCAATTGTGGCAAGGACAGCAAGTGCAGGCCAGAAAGTTTGATGATGTCACCATGCTTTTCTCAGACATTGTGGGTTTCACAGCCATATGTGCTCAGTGTACTCCCATGCAGGTGATCAGCATGCTCAATGAACTTTACACCAGATTTGATCACCAGTGTGGATTTTTGGATATTTACAAGGTAATGAAAATGAGTTATTTCTATATAAGTACTGTTTAATAACAAAGTCTCAACTCATAAGAATATATACTAGCTTAAATTTATAAATTAATTGANGGAAATCTTTATATACAATACAATATATATTTTTCAATCCATATTTTCTAGACTTAGCAAAATTTCATAATTTCATGTTATAGCATTGGCTTCAACAATGCTGAAATATAAGAAAAACAGTTCTTCATAGCTGCTTCTCGATATTCAGTAATAGTAAATAATTAAACTTATGAAACCAGGCAAATTTGAACCCATAATTAGTTTTTGCATTAAGCGTGGGACTCCAATATCTATTAAGAATTTTTATTTTTATGGCTAAAAAAATAACAAGTGATATTAAAATATGAACTGAATTATTTAACTTTAGATAATGAGCATTTTCACAGTGTCAGTGAAGTGATATCCCTTAATCCTTAAAGAATATGTGTAAGTATTTTCCATGTGGTCAATAGTTCTAAATTAGAAGCACCTTAATGGTTTCTTCTTTGAAATAAAACAACCACCAGTTATTGATTTAGCTTTGGCCAACTCTGTCTGAACTTCTTTTCAAAACTGTAGCCATACCTCCAGAAGTTCAGCTTCTACCTACTTATTATATAAAAGGTTTGCATAGATTTTTCACATAGGTTGTTTGCATAGATTTTTCACATAGGTTATGCAATGTCAGAGTGCAGGCCTTTTTTATGTGAAGGGCAGGCAGCAAGGACATTTAATTTAAGCATATAATGAATGGCAGGGCTTAAATGTACTCATCTAAGCAGCATATAAACAGATTTGGAAAGAACTTACTTGTTTTGTTTTTGTCTAGAATTTTGATTCAGGAAGTAATCTCAGTTAGATGTGTCTCCTTGGAAAAGTGAGACCACATAGAACATTATCCAGAACATATAGAGGATGCTTACTTACCCTGTGAGTGGTAAGCATTCTATATAAAAGATGGAGTGAAATATACCTTGTTATAGAAAATAAGAGTTTTACAAATTGCCTTTGTAGTTTATTATTGCATAACTTGTTTTAGAGGTAGCCCAATATTTGGTTCTAAGCTAGATCAACACCCAACCCTACTGCTCTTATACCCTGATATTTCCCAAAAGAGAAGAAATCAGCTCAAATTTGCCTGTACTTTCTTCCTTCATATTTCATCCTTCATATTATTGCAATCACTAATCTTGTTTTTGGTTGTCTTGTTTTATTTAAATCATTGGATTTCAGTATTAGCCTCCTCCAGCTTGCATTTTAAAAAAAATCTTTTTAGTTTATATAATTAAGGGAAAAATATAGATAAATGGATTCACTTTAAAAAACAAATGCAAATCTATAGTTTAAATAAAATATAAGGAAAATATAAGGGAGGCTTTGAAGAGGAATAAAGGAAATGAGATGCTTTCTGCAGATAGCAAAACAGTTTCAAAGCATAAAAATAAAACTAGCTTTCATAGACATCTCCTGTCTCTTCCCCTGAGAAAAGCTTGGATACCTCAAAGGAAAATAAGACTTTCAAAATATCATACACCATCTTCAAATTTTCCTGTGTTATTGAACCAAGGAAACATTCCTATAGACCTAAAAAACTACCTGTAAGTTTTAACTTGCTAATTGATTTTCTCAATTTAATACTTACATATCTATTTCTCACGTATATGTGTAAAAATATCTTAAGTTCCCTGCCCTGTGGGGGACTTGATTGGGGAAGGGGAGGGAAAGGGGAGGCGGCGGTGAGGAAGAGACAGAAATCTTCATAAATAAATAAATAAATAATAATAAAAATATATCTTAAGTTAAACAGATAGATTTCAAACTCTACATTTTCTTAAAGTAAACCTGCTTTTAAATTTAAGTAATGAAATATGAATACACATAATTCCAAGGCCATTTGTTTTTAACATATTCAATGCTAAGGTTATGTGAATCTGCAATAGGTAGATGGAACAGCTTTGGGTGTTTACTTGGCTTAAAAGAGGCGGTTTTTTGCAAGTGAGATGCAATATGAGCTGAAGTCACAGTGATGATGAGGATGTAGAAAGGGAAAGATGAGGTTTAGATGGCCAAGCAGGAAAGTGCTTCTTTATCAAACATTAGGTTCTGACTTCAGGATCACAGAAACTACACAATAGTCAGGCATGATGGTGTGCGTCTGTAACCCTGGTGCTCAGAGAGCAGAGACAGATGGATCCTGTTGGGCAACTTCACTGGCCAGCTAGGCCAACTGAAACAGGATGTTCTGACATTGTTGAGAAAGTCTTTCTCAAAATATTAAGGCAGAGAATGAGAAAGGAAGATACATGACATTAACCTCTGAAATTCACAAATGCATGTGCATGGAAGTGACTGCTTATACACACATACACAGACACTATTTCTAACGAGAGAAGGAAATAAATAGGATAAATAGAAGTACAGTGTAAGAAATAAATTAGAAAGAATGTAAATGGGCCATCCTTTTGCTGACCTGTCTGTGTTCATGAAATCATTCAAGGTTATTTTTAAGCATATTTGTATTATGTTGATATATGCTCTAGACTAATTACTGTAATGCATTGTGAATTTTTTGATTCCTATATCATAAATCACGTACATATTTTAATTACTATTGAAAAAATATATTCCAGAAGTTATTTTTAAGCAGCCCTGTTGATATACAAAATTTAAAATTATTAGATTTAAAGTATTGTATGTTTTGAATAGAATAATCACGCCCCAGAGAAAAAGATGCAAGTCACATTTATATTGTAAAGCAGATAAAATGGAATGAAAATGTAAAACAAACTAGAGGGAGTATCTCAAGATCACATACAAAATTTTCTATTACACAGTGAGACCCAAGTCTTTAAACATGTGGCTGCCCACCTTACATTTTAGTGTTTCGCTATCATTACAGAGAAGCAGTGATGAACTATTATTAGAGTGGAAGAATTAAGCAAATAGAGGTGATGATAAGAAGGTTCTTCTAAAATAATTCAGCCATCTACAAAGTGGGGAATGTGGGAAGAAGCTGTAGATTATACTGAACACATTTCAAGCCATGTAAAAGTTAAAGGCATAGGGTTTAACAGCCAAGATGATATAGATGTGTGAATACTAAGAAAGACCTGGGTAATTTGGAGGAAACACATGTTATAATTTTGATTCTTTTGTAATTAGAAGGACAGGTATATTGAGCAACATCAATAATGTACTTTCATTGTTACATTTGATGGTGAGTAGAAAGCAAACAATAAAGGACCAATAATTCTAACTTATGAAATTAATGTCTTTTGACAATAGAGGAAACAATAGGAATAATTGTAGGAGTGACACTACATTGTAGCTTTTACTTCTCTGTTTTGACTTTGGCAACAAATTTGGTATGAGATAAGAAAGAAGCTGAGAGGAAGCTGGATCCTGCCACTCAACCAGATATCTATTCTTCATCTTTTTTTTCTTTCCTTTTAAGTTTTTCAAGACAGGGATTCTCTGTCCTGGAACTAGCTGTAGACCAGGGTGGTCTTGTACTCAAACTCATAAAGATCCAATTGCCTCTGACTTCCAAGTGCAGAAGTGTTACCTTTACCCCACAATCTCTCCAGCATAAGTTGTCATCAGAGTTTTTGATCTTGGCCATTCTTACAAGTGTAAGATGGAATCTCAGAGTTGTTTTGATTTACATTTCTCTGATGACTAAGGATGTTGAACATTTCCTTAAGTGTCTTTCAGCCATTTTAGATTCCTCTGTTGAGAGTTCTCTGTTTAGGTATGTACTCCATTTTTTATTGGATTATTTGTTATTTTTATAACCAATTTATTGAGTTCTTTGTATACATCTTTGTCACATCTGGGAATCTTTCAGAGCACCTGTAAGGACTCCTGGAGAATGGCTGTAGGTGTAGAAGCTTTAGCCTTCTTGATGGAGGGTAAGAAGTGCCAAGGATTTCTCTCCTTTACTCAATCCTCCAACATGAATGAATCTCTAAATTTAAATGTGAAATAATGGTTGCTTTAGGGTGGTAGATTTTGAGATCACATTACCACCTCATGACGTTTTAACCAAGTCTATGTAATCAACAGTATTTAAAGCTCCTTTGGCACACACCCCTTTGTGTTCAGTATTTATAAATAATTGCAAGAGTTTTGTGTCTTAATATATAATATAAATATATAACATATAATATAAATAAATAATATACAATTTTATTTTTAGCTTTAAATATTTTATGTATATGAAAGTTTTACTTGCATGTATGTCTGCAGTTGCATATAGTATCTGCAGAAACCAAAATAGAACACCAGGACCCCTAGTACTAAAGTTACAGTTGGATCTGAACCACCCTATGAGTGCTGGAGACTGAGCTCAGTTTCTATGGTAGAGTAGGCAGTGCTCTTAACCATGGAAAAATCTCCCCATTCCTGATATGGTATATTTTTATGCCTAGTTATTTATTAATCTTGTCATTTATAGCAACTATCATAATTTCTGATATTTGGAAACCAAATGTTTTCAAATATTTATATGACATGTGTGTATCTTAATATAAATTACATGAACTTATATATATATTCTTTACATATTTATTAATTTTGCCCTTTCTGTTCTATAATGTGTTTATACAGTATATCAACTGGTAATATCAACTCACCTCATTCTCTCCTAAAGATAAGATGCCTATGTCATTAATCTTTATCAGTCTTTGTGTGTTTGTATGTGTGTGCATGTGTGTGTATGTGTCTGTGTATGTGTGTGTGTGTGAGAGAGAGACAGAGACAGAGAGTTTGTGTGCTTATATATGTGCTTATATATAGCTGGAAAGGTTTATGTGCACGTTAAAGTCTTGGATACTAATCCTGAGGGGTGATCCATCTTCATTTCAAAGAGTGTCTCTCATTGGTCTTGGAATCATAGACTTGGGTAAACTAGCTGTTTATGAAGACTCAAATATCTTCACCTCTCCCCACCCCAGCACCAAGATTATAAAAACACATCATCGCACCTAGATTTTTATGGTTCACTGGTTCTCATGCATTCTATTAACTGAGTGTTTACCAAGCACTCTCTATGGGTTACAAAATCTGGTGGTACAAATTATGAAAATGTATATGAAAATAGATAGAAAAGTCCATTTTTTTCTTGAAACTGGGTGAAAATATTGAATGTGATGATAACATAAATTCTAAGAAGTTGTGAGCCAAGAAGACATATGTTCAAACCATACACAATGTCATATAATTCATACTACTAAATTACTCTCTTTTAATTTTGACTTCTGAAAAAAAAGGATAAGGTAATTTCAAGTTACATAGCTGACAACCTTCTGAAATTTAATGACATGTAGAAATAAAAAGGACCAGGGCTGTGAAGAAAGCTCACTAGATCACAGTACTTGCTGGACAAGGATCCAAGTTTGGATTCGTAGAGCCCATTGAAAGCTGGAAAGAGGAGACCACATCTAAACTCCAGTAGGATGAACTATTGATGATCTCACAACAAAACTTTGGAAATTAGGGGCATTGAATATTGGTTTAATATTTTAAACAATTAAAGAACAATGGCCAATTAGAATGCATTCTGACAATAGAATTATATTAGGGCCAGAGAGTACTTTAATAGGGACTAGTAACTATTCATGTCATTGTGTAATTATGACTGTAACTATTCATGTCATTGTGTAATTATGACTTTTTTGCCATCCTGTTTCACATTTCTCAGATCAAATATAATGATTTTTTACATGTTTCTTTTATTTAATATTGGATATTATATAAAAAGTGCTTAACATGATTAATGCCATGAAGTATGATTTTAATAAATTTAAGTATTATAATTATTAAGAATATCTTAAACCAGATCTGACATCAAATTACAGATGAATGGAATGTAGAATTCTGAGGCAACATGAAAGGTAGGAAAGTTAAAGATAAGAAACAAAAGCTTTCCAAAAGATGATTGAAAGTTGAAAAAGATACAAGGATGCCTATTGAGAAAGTTATCATTTGGGAACCATATAGGTAAAATACTGGCAATTCTTTTTTGGAGGAATAATATTCCAGTCATTCCTAATGTCAGTGATCATCTTTGGTGATAATGAACAACCTGGAGTGAGATGTTAGGATTTTTTCATAGCTGTTTGCAAACTCTACTAGGATTACAATCAATTGTCTAATTGCTTCATTAATTGATGCTTACTTGACATGTTTCTCAGCAACATTTGTGATTGCTGATAACTAGTCATTTCTCTTCTGATTCATTATGTTTGCATTTGATTTGTCTGATTGCTGCAGGTGGAAACAATAGGGGATGCATACTGTGTTGCAGCAGGGCTGCATAGAAAAAGCCTATGCCATGCCAAACCCATTGCTCTGATGGCCTTAAAGATGATGGAACTTTCAGAAGAGGTTCTGACTCCCGATGGAAGACCCATTCAGGTAACCTCAACAAGCTAATGTAAAAAAACAAATAAACCTTTTAATGAACTTTTTGCTAGAAGGTAGGACTAAGAAATTCCCTTCTGGATTATACTTGCTATAGTTGATAAATCTAAACAAGGTAGGGATGATAAGTGCTAACTATTGGTCCAGGGCCACCCAAATAGGAAAGGAATGTGGAAGGCAAATTACCATGAACTGAAGAAAGAATGAAAGGATTTGACCAAGGAGAAGACATTAACATCATTGGGTAAGTTGCTCCATTCAAGTGAGGTTGGTGGGGAAAATGAGAATCTGAGCTCAAACTAAACCAATATACAAGAGTTAAGAACAGTTAATGAGGCTCTAGGACTCAGAAATCTGTGATTTTTTGGTGTGTGTGTGTGTGTGGAAATTGCTACTTAGAGCCACTTACCAAAGAAACTTGAAAAACAGCAGCAGACCTACCACCTGGTTATTGCAATTGTATTAGTAGCATTATTGTCTTGCATAAATGGCTCTCTGTAATCTATAGTCTATCTCTGAGAATGCCTGAGTTAATCTAGTTGCCTTTCTGCCAATGCCTAAAGAATAATCCCAGAATTGCTATTACTGTAATTTTTTTTAACAGATCCCTCACACTGAGAGAAGTGCCTTGAACTCAAGGGAGAACTTTTACTTTTATAAAAGTTCTCTAATCTTGGGTTACAAAAAAAATGGAGGGAAAGGACGCTCACATCTCTGTACCTTTCTAGTTCCTATGTGATGTCAAATTAATGACCCAAAAACTTTACATTTAAAATTAATAAGTGTTATTGAAAATTTCCATCTCCTTCCCTCCTCCCACTTCCATCCCCTCCCCCCACTCCCTCTCTCCCTTTCTCTCTAGTCCAAAGAGCAGTCAGCGTTCCCTACTCTATAGGAAGTCCAAGGTCCTCCCTGTTTCCCCCAGGTCCAGGAAGGTGAGCATCCAAACAGCCTAGTCTCCCACAAGGCCAGTCTATGCAGTAGAATCAAAACCCAGCACCATTGTCCTTGTCTTCTCCTTCAGCCTCCACCATCAGCCACATTCAGAAAGTTTGGTTTGATTACATGCTCCATCAGTTCCAGTCCAACTGGCCTTGGTGATCTCCCATTAGATCAATCCCACCATCTCAGTAGGTGGACGCACCCCTCGCAGTCCTGACTTCCTTTATTAATCACTATTATTCCATCACTATCTATTTCATCACTACAGGGAAAATAAACTACAGAACAGCAAACTTATCTTTACTGCAAACTACCACACACCAATATTTTCAACCCTATTAACCTGGCAATCTTACTTATTTCTGTAGATTTTTGCTGTATAATGAGTTTTCTCTGATAGAGGATTTAATACTTAAAATTGATTCTTAGTAGCATTACAACAAACTCTGATTACCAGAACCAGGGCATTGCATTATACAGGGTACTTGTTAATGTTTCCATTTGTGGGTTGTAATATTTACTCCATTTCATGAATTAGTGAGTCCTATTAAATCAGAAGAGGAAATGTTCATAAAGATTTAAGAATGGAGAAATAGAAATGAAAATAGTAAAACCACCCTAACAATTTCAGACTTATGCTAATTTATAGTGTTTTCATAGATAAAGATCCTTTTTTGAATTATGAATTAATTATGAATTTGGTTTTTAAATGTGTTCAAGCTCAATACCAGGGGCACATCTTCAAGTATATGAAAAAAAAATTCATTATGAAAGGTTGGATATTGCAGCAGAGCTATTAAATGGCCTGCTGTTTGTTTATCTCAAATTAAATGAGATTTGTATGCTCTGCTGTCTATGTTACAATAATTATACAAAGGAGAGCTTGCCAAGCCTTTTATTTTTTGAATAATAAAGTAACAGTTTTTTATAGGTCTAAGAGGTATCTTATAATGATTGCTCCCCCAGCTCCTTCCTTTTGTCTTCCCCACCTTCCTACCCACACAACTTAATGTTCTCAATAAATAAATAAATACATAAATAATAATCAGGTAAAATAACAAAATAGAAAAAACAGAAGAAAATTAGTAACACACACCATTTGCAATCATATGCATACACACAAGAAATTTGTTTTGTGTTGGAAGACTACTCCTGAACATAGGGCCTGCCCTGGAATGTGATTTATGTGCCCAGTGACACTCCATTGTAAAAAACTAGTTTCCCCTTTCCTAGCAGGTATTAATTGCAAACAACTCCCTATTTATAAGTGGAAATTTGTGCCCACTTTACCTTCTTACTGATGGAGTTTTGTCTGGATTGAACCTGTGCAAATTTTCTGAGCATTTTCAAAGTCTCATGTGTGTATCAATTCTGCTGTGTCTGGAAGATGCTGTTTCTTTGGAGACAACCACTACCTCTGACTCTTTTTTAAAATTTATTTTTATTGCTTAATAAATAATACCTTTCAAAATTTCCACTTCCCACCTCCTCCCATTTCCATCCAGCTCGCCCTCTCCCCTCCCCACTTCCCTTTCAGTCCTAAGAGAGGGCTGGGTACCCTGCCCTGTGGGAAGTCCAAGGCCCTGCCCCCTCCATTCAGGCTTAGGAAGGTATGCAATCAAAGAGACTGGGATCCCCAAAAGTCAGTACATGCAGTAGAGACAAATCCCAGTGCCATTATCATTGACTTCTCAGTCTGCCCAAATTGTCAGCCACATTCAGAGAGTCCAGTTTGATCCCAGGCTCCTTCAATCCCAGTCCAGCTGGCTTTGGTGAGCTCCCATTAGATCAGGAACACTATCTCCGTTGGTGAACCAACCCCTCGCGGTCCTGACTTCGTTGCTCATCTTCTCCCTCCTACCACCCTTCAACTGGACCTTGGGAGCTCAGTCCAGTGCTCCGATGTGGGTCTCTGTCTCCTTAAGTTTCTATGGTGATATTCAAAGATACTCATCAGTCTGACTATGGGACAAAGCTAGTTGAGGCACCCTTTCCTCTACTGCCCAGGGTCCTAGCTGGGGACATGCCTGTGGTTACCTGGGAGCCCCTCTAGAACCAAACCTTTTGCCAACCGCAAAATGGCTTCCTTAATTAAGATATCTTTTTCCGTGCTCTCATATCCGTCCTTCCTCTATCTCAACCATCCCAATCACCCTCCAGCTCTCCCCAACCCTCCCCTTCTCCCTTCTCTCTCCCTCTCTGCTCTTCCCCCCACCCTACAGCAACCCCATGCTCCCAACTTTTACCTGGCGATCTTGTCTGCTTCCAATTTCCAGGAGGATCTATATATGTTTTTCTTTGAGTTCACCTTATTACTTAGCATTTCTAGGATTGCAAACTATAGGCTCTATGTCCCTTGTTTATGGATAGAATCCACTAATGAGTAAGGACATACCATATTAATATTTTTGAGTCTGGGTGATCTCACTCAGCATAGTGTTTTCTATTTCCATTCATTTGAATGCAAAATTCAAGATGTCAAAAATAATCAACTTTATATGGAAAAACAAAAAATCCCAGGATAGCCAAAACAATCCTATACAGTAACGGAACTTCCAGAGGCATTACCATCCCTGACATCAAACTCTATTACAGAGCTACAGTAATGAAAACAGCTTGGCATTGACATAAAAACAGAGATATTGACCAATGGAATCAAATCTAAGACTCGGATATTCATCCACAAACCTACGAACACCTGATTTTTGACAAAGAAGCTAAATTTATACAATGGAAGAAAGAAAGCATCTTTAACAAATGGTGCTGGCATAACTGGTTGTCAACTTGTAGAAGAATGAAAATAGACACATATCTATCACCATGCACAAAACTCAAGTCCAAAATGGATTAAAGACCTCAATATAAATCTGATCACACTGAACCTGATAGGAGAGAAAGTGGGAAGTAGTCTGTAATACATGGGCACAGGAGACTACTTCCTACATATAATCCCAGTAGCACAGTCAATAAGAGCAACAATGAATAAATGGGACCTCCTGAGACTGAGAAGCTTCTGTAAAGCAAAGGACATTATCATTAAGACAAAAAGACAACTTACTGAATGGGAGCAGATCTTCACCAACCCCACAAGAGACAAAGGTCTGATCTCCAAAATATATAAAGAACTCAAGAAATTAGACATTAAAATTATAAATATCCCAATTAAAAATGGGGTACTGAACTGAACAGAGAATTCTCAACAGAAGAATTTCAAATGGCCAAAAGATACTTAAGAACATGTTCAACTTCCTTAGCTATCAGTGAAATGCAAATAAAAACAACTTTGGGATACCATCTTACACCTGTGAGAATGGCTAAAATCAAAAACACCAATGATACCCTTTGCTGGAGAGGATATGGAGTAAGGGTACACTCGTTTATTGCACTTAGGAGATACACCCAGAGTGTCAGACACAGCATAGATTGGACCAAGACACCAAGACTCTCCTGGCTGCATTTGAAGGAAGAGATGGGCAGACACCAAATCAAGAATTCCTCCAACAATCTTAAAGGCAACATGACAACATCAGAGTACAAGGATCAATCAACAAGAAGACTTGAACACCCTATTCCAGAAAAAGTAGAAGAAATCTACTTTAAACATAACATTATGAAATATATAGGGGACCTTAAACAGGATGTGAAAAACTGCTTTAAGAAATGGAGAAGACAAACAATAAGATAGAAGAAATGAATAAATCTCTCAAAGATATCCAAGAAAACCAAGAAAAGCAATCAAACAGGTAATGGAAAAAGTTCAAGACTTGAAAAAATGAAATGGAGGTAATGAAAAAAGTGCAAACGGAGGGAAGGCAGGGTATGGAAAATCTGGGTAAACAAACAGGAACTACAGAGACAAGTATATCCAACAGAATACAAGAGCTAGAAGAAAGAATCTCAGACACTGAAGATATAATAGAGGAAATAAATTCATTGATTAAAGACCAAAACAAATCCAACAAATTCTTAACACAAAACATTCAGGAAATCTGGGACACTATGAAAAGAACAAATCTAAGAATAATAGGGGTATAAGAAGGAGAAGAATTACA